GGCTAAGACTAGAATAAAAGCCCCGACCCTGCCATCTTCTGGTCCTGTGAGATGGGCAGTGTTATTGCCCATTCCGAAGCTCCATACCGAACTTTGGGTCCTCTTACCTACCGTGTTATTTCTCTTCCTCTTTCTACTATCAGTTGTGAACACACAGCCTAGGGACCAATTATGTTAAGGGAATCAAAAATCAAGCTTTTTGCCCTTAGAAATCACCTGTGAAATAAGCTTTATACTCAATGTCCAGGCTTCCTAGAATGTTCCTAATAGTGGGGTTTCTAAAATATCAAGAGTGACAGACCTCAGAGATGAAATGCAGTTTCTTGGTTTGTCAGGATTTGCCAAACACAAAGGCTAAAACAGCTGAGAAAAAATAGGTGTGATCGGTCTCTCAATCTTCTTTCTGCTCAGTGTTTTCCTAAGGAATGTCACTGAAAGAGTTGGTCCTGGTTCGTTCTGTACCATTGCTGTGTTGAGGAGTACCTGCTTCTTTTTCGTCATCATCATCATCTTTATTTTCACTGTATTGTCGAATGTGAAACATTTGGTATCATGGCAGTGTTTGTAAAACCTTTATAAGAACCTCTTAGAGAAGTGAACCATTTTGTAATGTAGACATATCTCTGCATTACACAGTTTTCTTAAGCTTCTGAAAGAGTTTCGGTTACTTTTTAAAATATCTACGTTCATTAATCTGTCATTTCTGAACAGCCATGGTTTTTATGTCGAGTTCTTTCCTGGGGGGGGGTGGTCATTTGGTGAAGTTCTTGTTTTGTCTTTAGCTTTACAATGGGATTATATTATAAACAGTTAATAAACTGTATTGATGAGGATTTCTATCAAAACCACGGATCACGGAGAGTGTCAATTTCTTAGATGTGCAATCATAAACAAGTCATTTGACTACCTGCTTGCTCTTCATTTTTTTTTTAAACTGTACTAAAGTAGAAAATAATTGGGTATAGCGGATCATGTCTGTAATCCTAGGGCTTGGATGCAAACAGAGAGCGATCATTAGTTCAAGGTCATCTTCTGGTACACAGTGAGTTCAAGACAGCTTGGGCTACGTGAAACCTTGTCTTAAAAAGAAAAAAAAAACCCATGTATGCTATATCTTATGCATCATGGGATGTTGGCAGTGGTATTGATAAATGCGCTGAGCACCAGTATAAAGCCATGGGCTTATTATTACAAACCCTGGTCTTAAAATAAAAGAGAGTGTTTGACCCACAGGCAACACTTCTAGCTTGTTGCGCTTAGTGAGGTTGGTGTGTGGACATGAGGTTTTTCTGTATCTTAACGTGAGCTGCCCACCCTTTCTCTATTTTTCATGCCTACCCTTTGCCCATTCAAGTCATCTGCTATGTTGGAGGCAGATAGTCAAACGTAGACTGGTGAGACAGACAGTTAAGAGCACACTCAGTGAGGGCCTGAGCATCTCCCACAGGCCTTCAAGTTGGAATGAATGGCTGTATTGCTCTTGTGGTCTGAGTGTAGGTCACTCACAGGGTTGTCAGCCCCCACTGATTCCTCTGAGTAGGTGATACTACTAAGGGATGGAAGCTGGATGTGTTTCCCTTTCGGGTCTGTGCTATTCCAAGACACAGGTACTTTCGTTGCTAATTAAAAACAGAACTTGTATCCATCACCGAAAAACAATGTACAAAGCATAGTAGTTAATGAGGAGGAAATTACAACATGAATTCTGTAAGAACATTTTTGATAAATAGTTTGAATCAAGCATCTCTTTCAGTGGTAGGAAAAGAAAATACATATGTATTTGACCATTTGACTTTAGTGGTTCTTGTAGCACGTTAGTTATAGTGTATATGTAATGTGTCTACTAATTCATCCTTTTACTTTCTGCAAATAGAGCTTGCCACGTAACACCTAACTGGCATGCGAGGGTGAGTGGGCAAAGGCCGATCAGTGAGCACCAATGTACATTTAGATAGAAACAAGAAATTCTGGTGTGGTGCTTGTAAAATAAGGTGCCTATAGTTAACAGCGCTTCACATTTATTGCAAAGAACTACTACAAAGGAGTTAGAGCACTTTTTCATGAAATGATGAACATTTGAGGAGATATGTACGTCTTACCTGATATAAACTGTCGAATAATATGTACATATCAAAACATCACTTAGCACCCCATCCAGGAGTATAGTTTTTATTTATTTTATTTTTATTTTTTTTGTGCTAGCTAAAATTTAATTGTTAGAACAGAGGGAAAAAATGGATTGGCAAGTAAAGATGCTTGCTGCCAAGCCTAACAACTTGGGTTCGGTCCTTGGGACTCAGGTGGGAGAAGGAAAGAACTGTCCTCTACAAGTTGTCCTCTGACACCCACACCTGCACAGTGTGTTCACAACCCTCCGGGACACCGTAAACACTGTATCAAAATTAGTTCCTGAAGTAAACCTGAAATTAGAAACAAAGTGCAAGACTTTTGACAGATGGGTGTAACTATCTTTGTGTTTTGGTGTGTGTTCCTTGGTGTTGTGTGGAGGTTAGAAGAACCTGCTTGTACAAGGATGTTCTCCCTGTCTACTGTTTACATCCTGGGGATCAAGTTCAGGTCTCCAGGCTTGACAGCATGAGCCATTAAGGGCTGAAGCATCTCAGCAACTCCTGTTTGGCCATTTCTCTTTCGTTCTTGTCGCTAGTGGGATGATGTATAGACTTTCTCAGTCTTCCATCAGGCACACTGAGTAAGATTTTCGCAAAAGACAAATATTAACAAAATATTTTAATCTTTTTAGTTACACAGGAAATTCAGCCAACAGTTTCTCAAATCAATGATCATGGATGAGTTGCAGTCTGATAAGCTGGTAAAATTTATCTTGAGTCTCAAGAGACTGTTAGGATAATTCATTCAGTAAATGAGATGTATACATATCTATATATGTTTTCTTAAAAGCATAGTGCCTTATTTTAATGCTCTCAATAGAAGTTTTTGCTGTTTTGTACTTGTGCCAGCATTTGCACTGGACCCATGAGGGGCTTCTGAGGCTGCTGGAGTGGGATGTACCCTGTGAAACAACCTTGTTCACTTGGCAGGGGTTCTATACTTCTCTTGGTTTGTGCTTTTCAAACATTCTTGGCGGGATGGTGCTGGGGAGATGTCTCAGTGGTTAAGAGTACACACCGTTCTTGCACCGGACCAGGGTTGGGGGTACCCAGCGCCTATGCCAGGCAGCTTAGAACTGCTTGTGACTCCAGCTCCAGTCATATCCGACATCTCTTTTGACCACAGAGGGCACCTGTGCTCACTGCTACTGTACTGTGTGGATTAATGATATTTGCAGGGCCAACCAAGCACCAAGTTGAGATAAGTGAGCTCCACGGCCAACAGCATTAGGTTTGTCTAGGAACTTGGTAGAAGCACAGATTCTCTAGTCAACTGAGTCGGCATCACTGAAGGTTTGCTTCCCAGCCCTGAAAGCAAACAAACTCTGGAGTGGAGCCAGCAAGTGTGGGCTTGATGCAGATCAGGGGATTCTCAGGCGTATTCATACAGGAAAACCAGCAGGACAAATTGTGACTTCTGTCTCCTTGTTGTTCCTGCAGGATAACCACTATTCCATCATAGGTCAGTTTAAACCCTAACTACATGCCGATGAAGGAAATTTATTTCTTTTAAATGGCATATTAGAAAAGTCAGACTTGAGAAACTGCAAGTAACAGGCATCCAGAGTCTCTACCTCTGATAAAATATTCAGGCACCACAGAGCGAACCTGACAGCACAGGGGAGAGAGGAGCTTGCCATGGAAGTTCCTGGATGCCTGTGTGTTCACGTGACTTTTCAGTAACCCTGGCTTCATCGTACTTGAGCACCCTTTACTGTGACCTCATCTCATGGAGCCCACCTTCTGATGACTCACAATTTTGTGGAGTTAGCCAACCTTCTTCAGTGAATAACTGATGTAGTATCCACAGTAAAAAAAAAAAAAAAAAAAAAAAAAATCAACTAGCATTGAGAATGTAGACACATTCAATATATGACGCTTTCCTTACCCACCCCTCAACATAAATACGTATTCAGCACAGTTAAAAAGTGGTTCCTCTGTCATGCCTGCCTGGGGAGATTGATTTCCTGAGTCTCCCAGATCCTCTGTTTTCTCTTTTGTGCTAGGTAGGCCTTCAGTAAGCCTTGTCTGACACGCTTTGTGGCCTTTGCCTCCCATGATAAAATAGATTGAAATGATTCCTGGCACCATCTGCCGAACAAGAGCAGCCCCGGAGGACTGTGCTGAGAGAAAGTGACTGAATGCTAAGAAATGTGCAAGTCTAGGGATGCAGGCAAAGGATTTTTTTTTTTAAAGAGCATGAACATTAATACATCTTCTTGAGGTTTGATGGGACATGTAGTGCCTACTGCCCCATCTGGTGCTTATGATAGCATGGCATATTAGCATGCTTCAAGTTCATAATGTATTCAGGGGAGGGAACATCGCTTGCATACCAATTGAGGCATCCTCTCTTTCAGAACTGCTTTTGAATTTCAATGATGTTTATATCTTCCAAGCTGTGTCTGAACAGAGCATTTCCGCTCTAAGGAATAACATGAGAGAGAGAGAGAGAGAGAGAGAGAGAGAGAGAGAGGAGAAAGGAGAGGAGGAGAGGATATCTGCTTCTATCCCCCCGTTAATTTATCTGTGCCTCTTTCTTTTTTTCTTGATGAGTGGATTTCAATATTAAATTGGTCTATGAGTTAGTTCTTTTTTCTCTTCTGTAAACTGCCAGGTACTTGATCACATACATACGACATTTCATGCATTTTTGTCCTTAGAAGCGTATGTATAGAGGACAGCGGTGGGTGAGCCACCTTCTGAGCATGAGCCCTCTGTGTGTTTGTGTGTGGCTCTCCATGGCACCCGGCATCCAGTCATGCATTTGAGAAGCACTTCATGGAGGGGCTCACGCTCTGAAAGGGACACTGGTAGAGACACTGAGCAAAGCGGTCAGCAAGACTGTGAGCTGCTGCTTCTCTTTATATCTGGAAAAGGAGATGACAAACCTTAAACTGAGAAGGAGATGCACAAGGTAATTTCAGACAGGGATAAGGCAGCTAATAAAGCAGGCTGAAGAGTGGCTCCGGTGATAGCATGGGAAGCCCATTCAGACTGGGTTTTTCAGGAAAGGTACCTTTAAGGAAGTGACATTTTCACTGAGGTCTGAGTGGGAGACTTAGTGGCCTAGAAATATCAAATGTAAGACCCTGGAGATGCAAACGTGATTGACGTTTAGTAAGGGCATGGTAACTCGAGCCAAGTTGAGGGCTGCCCGGCCCAGTGTTCCAAGCTGAGTTGTTGTTGGTTTGTTTGTTTGTCTGTATTTGTTTGTTTCTCCCTCCTTTTCTTTTTTCTGGGTGTCTGGAAGGCATCAGAGGATTAAACCCACAAGTGACAGGATCAAAACTGGCTTTTCAGAAGATAGTTGAGCTGCTTCTGTGTCTTATACTTAGTAAGCATCTCCGATAATGGAAGAATGGCATGAGCTTTAGATCTGTAGAGGTTCCCGCTTAAGTTGGCGTTAGCATGGATTATTATTTATTTTAATCACTTGTGTTAGTTATGTGACGTTGGAGGCACGGCCTTATGTCCGGGGTTGGCCTTGAACTGACTAACACACGTTCTGCCTGAACTCCCAAGTGCTAGATTACAGGAATGTGCCACCCTACTCTGTCTGGCATGCATTGCAGAGCCACACAACCATCTCCTGGATTTCAGCCTAGGCGTTTGGTGTTTGACTGTGAACAACTATGCCTTCTCACTGGATGAAAAGGAAAATCTATGCCTAGTATTACTGTGAAAATCAAATGAGATGAGTTAATAAAAGCCCAGTGCCCAGTGCCTAGTATGTTGTCTGGGCTGCCAAGGATGCACTAATTCTAATAACATGTGGTTTGAAGGGATACATAAGCAGTTCCTAGTGTATTGTTGCTGAGGTTCATAGCCAGTGATATAAACTAGATGCTGCTTACTCATGTTGGTATTCTTAGTATTCCTGATAGTTAGCATTTTGTCATTTATTCTAACACATGTACATATAACACACACACACACACACACACACACACACACACACACACACACACATTCCCCAGAAGATATTTAGATATTTCTAGGATGAAGAAGAACAAGCTAGATTTCTTTATTTTGGCCTGAGATAAAAATCATGGTTACATGAAGGATGCTATAAATATTTTCAATTAACATAGGAACTGACTATTAATTATTTGCATGATTATCAATTATTAGTCTTTGAAAGAGCATTCTTCAGTACAGCAAAACAGAGCAAATAAAGTCCCCCTTAGCTTTTCGCATGAATAATGTGCTTAATTACGAGAAATAATCCTCATCATTTTTACATTCTGTGAAGCAACGCTTAGCTTGTAGAAGTTTCTGTGGCATTGTGGGATTGGAGGTAGATGTTACTGGGGTTGAATGTCTAAACAGAGTTATTTCCTTAATTGCATTTGACCTACAGACTGCATGTGTGTGTGTTGGGGTGGGTGTTGATTGAATTGTTAGATGTTTGTTTGGTGAGGATTTACCCTCACCTATGTTGGTATTTTATTTTTAGTATTTTGTCCTGAAATATTCAGAGCAACAAGTCATTCTTGAGGAATGTGGAGGAGGAGGAGGCTGCGTGGGTGAGTCATGCAGGTTTAGTCAGCACTTAGGAGATTCTTGAAATGCCTTCTGATGTCCAGGAGCACTCTAAAGAGCTGGTAACCTCTGCATGTTGTATGAGAGAAGTCACATCAATTGCTGTGTGTTCTTGCTGGAATGTAATAAAAAGAAAGGGTCGATACGGGGTGAGAGGAGACACAGCTGAAAACAAAGCATCTGGCTGTTGAGCCCAGAGATTTTCCGTTTTCCTTAGTTAAATGCCAGTTGCTTGTGGACATCTTTGAGAAGGGAGGGGTTTGTGACTTGTCTGGAGAAACCAGAGGAGATGGTGACCCGCTGGCCTCAGTGAGGCTGCATAGTTCTTCCTAGAGTCTGTCTGTCTGTCCATTCCCATTCTTTTTTCTAAGATGCCTTGTTACAGAGACACAGTGGTAGAGGTTTTCTTGTGGAAAAAGAAAGATCAGGTGATCAAGGGGATCAGGTACATTCACCAATCTGAGCTAAGGTCCACAGGTCAGAGGCCTCTGGGACAGCCTGTGTGTCTGTGGTGCTGCAGCTCCTGGCTCAGGTGAGAGTTCATCTTAGTTGTTTGGCTTAGGTGGTAACACCACAAACCAGATCTCCCCTCTTATCTCCTCTTACCCTCTTATCTCCTGTTACCTTGTTAAATACCCAGTTTATAATTACTCTCAGTTTTAGTTACTTGGCAACTGTGGCCTCATACTGGCCAGCTTCTGTCTCCTGTTTTGCAGTTTGTAGTAGTGGGAACGGCTCTCTGTCACCTCCTCAATGCTCAATTTCCTAAGATGCATTTCAAGGCACACCAGACAGTCATTTATGTAAATTAAACATGTCACATTCAAAAGACCAGGCTAAGTTTCAAATGTGTAGCTCTTTCTATCTATCTTTCTTATTCTTTCTGTTCTCCTTTTCTTTCTCTTTCCTTTTCTTTTCTCTTAACAGGTTCTCGTCATGTAGCTCTGGGTGGTCCCGAACCAACCATCTTTCCTGCTTCAGCTTCCCCAGGGCTAGGTGCACCAGCTTGAACCTCCATGATACAGGGGAAGGCTTGCTTACTTGCCTTTGCCCCTTCGCATGGCCCCACACCCCATCCTCCCCATCCACCCCTTCCCCTTCCTTTCACAATATACTTCACAGCATTGTTAGGTAGAGACAGCGAAGTTTAGTCATTGTGAAGGCATATTGTAAGCTCAGGCTTAGTGATGCTGTCAGACTTTCCCATTTTACAACCGAAAGGCAGTAAGGGACTGTATAGTATTTATTGATTTCTCTTGGATGTCGAGGAAAGCAGAAATCCTTGGAGGTCTGGAAAAACAAAAAGACTGTATGGAATGATCTTTTATGCAGTACAGATTCATTGTAAATGTTTATATATAATGTTAATTGTTTATTGAAAGTAGATGGAGCTGTTTTGCTTGGTGAACAAGAAACGTGGCAACATTGCTATTGGGGCACTCTTTGAACACACAGACTACTCTTTCCTCGAACCCTTTATTCGTCTGTGCAACAAGGCTTCTTCATTTGCTTGCTTTTCCTCGGAGTGCTGGAGATTGAGCTCAGGGCTGCCTGCGTATCAAGTGTGTGTTCTCTGCCTGAGATGTAACCGCAGCCTAGGGTTCTAACTGGGAAGACTTGTGCGCTGCCGCCCGGGATCAGCTCCTGGATTTGGGATCCCTCTGTTGTCCATATGTGTCACGTAGGCAGGTGTGTAGCAGATGTTGGAGCTAGTGAGTCGACTAAGTAAGTGGGAGCAGCGTTGTGACATCCGTTGTCCTAAGATGACCGAGGAGGAAGTTGAGCAAATAATTTGAGATCAAGGACCCTTAATCATTTTTTTAGGGCCTAGTGCAATGAATGTTGTTTGGTTGGTTCTGTTTGAATATTAAACAGGGAGGTTTGTGTTCCAGAAAAATACTTACAGGTCAGTTGGGTCAGCTCTGTAATTCATGCTTTCATTTGTACTTATTGGGTTCTTAATGCCTGATAATTTTTTTTTCATAGCAATTGACGTGAGTCAAGGTAGGAAGAGTTTTGAATTTTTTGTTTGTTTGGTGTGCATATGTGTGTGCTTGAGTGTATGTGTGTGTTTAAAGGTGGTGATCAGGCTTGCACTGTAAGTGCTTTTATTTGCCTAGGTAGGTGGAAATTCTTGTTCTCCTAGACTTACATTTTAACAAATAGAAACAAACAGCAAGCCATAGACACAAAGAGCAGTAAATTTGTGCTGTGCTCATAATTATGATGAGAAATAGCCAAGCAAGAAGAAAGACTGTGCAGTACAACAGATTTCGCCTGAGTGCTTGTGATGGGCCTGAGAAGGGGTATTTGAGTGAAGCCTTGAGTTAGCTGATGGAAGGGGAGACACAACTACAGGGTTTGAGCCAACCAGGCTGGAAATGTAATGCAGGCTGATGTGTGGCATGGGTGGTTTGGTGAACAGAGAGAATAATGCAAGGATGGATGGGACAACAGGGAGAGCTGCTGTGAGAGTTTTTTTTAAGCCACTTGGAAAGACTTTCCTACCTAGCAGGAAAATCCTATTCTGAATACTTTGCCAGTTCCTTGCTTGTGTGCACTCATATTCCCTGAATGATGTCATAACATCAGGTGTTGGGATGACATCATCTCAGGGACAGGTACCCACCATGGTGTGTAGTTATTCCTTCAGTGATTATTCCATGCATACATCTTGCTGACATTTATTTTAATTATTGTCATTTGGTCTAATTTGTTTGCATTTTCTGGTACTTCGTGTGGCAGAATGAATCCTTAAAGCATCGCTTAATGTGAGCTAAGGCTACATAGTAAGTCTTTTCAGAGCCCTGGCCAGTTGTTCTCAAACAGTATTTTTATAAAGTACTTTGTAAGTTCTAACTTATATAGAAATTAACAAACAGGTATTAGAAAAAGTAAATTAGTAATGAAGAGAAGCAGTCTGAGAAATTGTCATGTAAATGATGGCTTTAGGAGTGTTGTTATCAACTCAGGGTGAGCTGTGATGTAGACTCTGATGCATGAGGCGCTCCCTGATGAGGTGTCAGCATAAGGAGACTGCCGAGAGAGCTACCCAATAACTGTGAAGGGGTGTACACTGGAACATTACCCTAGCGTCCATCATGATGCTAGAAGTCCTATGTAAGATACAACATTGCTACTTTCCCCTTTTTAGGCAGTGGAAATTGGAAATAATATATCAATGGACACATGGGCTTGAATCAATGAAATATTTGTGTTTCTGGAAGAATGTGGGGCATAGTGTCAACTTCCTTCTTAACTTAGACACACTTAGTTCAATTATCTGCCTAATTTCTTTCATCTCATTTACATTTTTTTGGCTACTGTGGTGTCTTATCTCTTTTTTAAATTTAATTATTTTTATTTTTATTA